TTGTTTCGATTTACGCCTGAATGGTGGCATGGTGGTTGTTGAAAGTTGAGGGTGGAATACGCGTTGGGGGTGGTGGAGAAAAACACCGGCCGCCCGGGATGCACCGGCCGCCCGGGAATTACGTTAGCAGGTTCGGCGATGACTAAGTAGTTATCAACGGAATTGTCGTATGGCAACTCTACAGGTCGTACAGCCCTTAGCATTGGATGCTACGAGATAGATAAAAACCAGAAGAAGTCCTTGTATTACTCCCTAGAGCCGACCTCGCAGTTCCTAAATACATTCTGAAGGCCGTTCGTGACCAAGAGGAATGAAAACAGATATAAGTTGGTATTGATTTTCTTGTCCTGCCCTATTTTCGCTGGGGATTTGGGCTTGTCCCTGCAAACTCCTTCCCAAGCTGAGCCCATCGAGCTAACCACTCAGGGCCTTGCTCGTGAGCCTGTTGATCACTGGGGTTCAAGATTCCTGGGGAGGACGCTTGGTAGACAAAATTGTGCTTTCGTATACAGTGAGTCCTCAAATTCGTTGGCTCACTATACCGATGATAATTCCGGCATTCGGGGTATCTGCAGAATAGCTTCCCTTTATAGACTATAGCATTATCGAGGGCACTAAGCTGGGAAGAGTCTATCCTAAGGCGGGGAAGGCGGCTAGCATGTGCATTGGTGAGCTGTCGATAGGATAGGAGACCGTTATCGGATCCCTTTGGCTGGAAAATAGCTTCACGACGCTATGTCGGTCTGTCGTTAAGCCGTCCCAGCCGTTAATCACAACGACTAGCTTTCCATCGTACTTCTCTACTTCCGCTCGTAGATTGGCAAAATATTTGCTTGTCTCTCCAGTCCGTGCAAATGGTTCATTAGACTGATGCACAAATGTATAATGCCTGTAATCAGTCTCCACAGTGTCTTGAAGACCATAATGTCGCTCATACGCTGTCTTGGTATGCTCCAGGCTCTTTCGAAGCCATCCATCCTTTTCTGTGCGTATACCAGTGGAAGAGCGAGCCAAAAAAACAGTAATGATCTTAACTGAGGGCATGCCATGTGCATAACTGAGAAAATCTTCATAAACTTTGTCCATTAAATTTGGTATACCAATTTTAATGCGATCTGTGCAGTTCCACAGCTCCATATCAGGATGGAAACTAATGGCGTTCAAGAATTGAAGATACTGGCATTTTTGTGATGGTGTATCAGTCCCATAAGTTTCGTGGAGCTGTCCTAGAGTTTGATGCCAGCGATGGAGAAAATCTGTAGCGGCCAGGCCAGGCTTGAAGGTGCAGTTGATCCAGGAGGTCCATAGTTGTGGTCTTTCTATACTGTCACTTTTTTCCATGGTCTGGCACAGTATTCCTGGAGGGCGCAGGGAACGATGAAAATAATAATGATTTTGATGAGATAGGGCGAGATAAAAGAAGAGAAAAAGAGAAAAACATGCGAGAAATGAAGAGAAGTAGGAAATTAACTCATACTGCCTCTAGGCGAGGTGGATGCCTAAGGCACGCCGACAGTATTTATCGTTCGGATGGAAATACGGCTCCGATGATATTAGATCCCATAAAACTGACCAGTGAGATCGTGTATGATCCATATTGGATGTAGTACCTAGGTAGTCTTGCTCCAATTATCGATACACATGGGATCAAAGGTAAGCAATGCACACATGCTATAGTCTCGTTATATCTATCAGTGTGAAAGTTGGGGCAAATTTGCAGATTATGGGCCAGCTGAGGGGCCACGAACTAGGTGAGATGCAAAGGATTCGCCACCAGCAGGGATGGATGTTGCGGGACCTCCTAGCACCTAGTCGGGATTTTTTCTACGACAAGAATTGGAAGAATATTGGGGTGAAAGAGAATTACAAGATATGATGTCGAAGCAGGTGAGAGGAGGGGGAAACGGTCTCATTGGTTCTATCTAGGCATCATGGTCTCTCTTGCTTGACATGACTAGGACGAAGAAGAAAAGGAGAGAAAGGCGCGGCTTTTATATCATCAAGATGGCGAGGTCCAGAGGCCGAACCCCTGGGTAGTGGATTCATCGCATGATAATACGTAGATTTGAGCAGTCTTACACATGCGAGACTCTCATTATGATTCCCCACTTGGGCCATCATGCTGGTCAGTACTGGGAGCGATCTCTCAGGCATTACTCTGTAAGCTTTCAGCCATTCTAACCATTCACTGGGAGCCAAGGTTTCCGTTGAAAACGCTGGCTGGCCTGAATAGTCGTGTAAATAATTTCCTCTTCCTCCCTTTTCTATGCCCCCCAATTTCCTGGAGTGCGTAATCTGGCCATTTGGATTTATCTGTATTCTCCCGAGGCCACGCAATATGATATATCCACTTGCGTCCTGCGTTTGCTGGTTGGGTCCATACCGTTCCTTCCTGAGAGGTTTCAGCGTCAATTACTAAGATTGATGTGGCTACTCTGTCGAGACAACGAAGTGTGTCGGAAGCGAATGTCGCCCTACGGATGTCTTGGGAACCGGGCAGAGATACCACCAAAGTAGAGGGTTTGGAGTATCGTCTGCTAGGGACCTTTAACGTCAACATGCCATTGTTATATGAGGGGCACGAGACATGCATGCGGCTACAGGAGGAGATTATGCGCAACGGCGAAGATATGAGCATGCTGTCTTGGAATGCACATGGGAAAGAGAACTCGTGTAAATGCTATAAATGTGCTCGCATTTATCCGCAGCAATTTTGGGGCCCTTTGGTCCATGAACCCTCGGAATTCAAAGACTCATCCTCAATCAAACACAAACTACCCAGGGGCAATTTCCATTTTTGATAACAAACAGAAGACGTCATATACCGCTGCAACTGGTACCTGACTCGCAATGCTGCATCACAGTCTTGAATTGCCTGGCTAGTGGAGGTAAGGGTTCCGTGGTGTATAAAGATGCGGCCCGTTTCATTTGTAAAGGGCAAGTATTGTCGAGTGTTTCCAACGGAGTTGTTCACCCTGATCCCACCCACAAACTACAAAGTCAAGGCAGAGCGCGATTTCAAGGATACGAAGGGGAATTATGTTCTTATTAGTATCCCTCAAAGTGTTAAGAGGAGGAAAAATTGTCTCATTAATTCTATCTTAACTTGACGTGACTAACTGGGAGGAAAGAAGAAAAGAAGAGAAAGTGTAACTTTTATAGACCCTAGGTGGCGAGGCCCAGAGGCCTAACCTCCGGGCAGTGAATTCAACAGGATCTACATAGGTATCTATGAACAGAAGGTGGAAGTCCGGTGACCACCCTGCGCCGTATGTGTCAGGTGCTCTACCCCCGGTAAGCATCAGTAATTGATAACACGTAAAAAGGGCACCCAATCAAGCATGTTAGCTCAGGGGAAGAGCGCCGGGCTCATAACCCGGAGGTACGTCACAACCATCCACAGATTCGCCAAATTCATTATCCTAATGAACCATCAGGTCCCTGGATCGAAACCAGGACATGCTATTCCTACCTTTTTTTTATCGGTAAGTAACGAAATAATTATGTATATAATCAAATCATGCATTGTGAAGGATATAGCTTCTTTCTTTTCCTGTTCGTTCTCCTACATAGGCTACCAGTATATATTTAGTACCGTGTATTTAATACTCCAGAGGGCGGCGGTGATCAGAATAACAACTTTCTCCCATCTTTATTTCTTCTTTCCTAGGTCACATGATACTTCTAGCCTCAGACGCTGCGAGTTCTTTACCTAATATGAAGGAAAATAACTAGTTAGAGAAATATACACTATTATCAATAAGTTGTTTCTATTCTTGTTAATAATTCTGCCCTATCCAGGGTACCTTATTCTGCTCTTATTCAATAGAGACAAGAATGTCAGTCCGCGCTCCCGCGGCCCTCTATTCTTTTGTGGGCCTAAAACAGTGTCCACTCGATCCCAAAAAGTGTATATACACCAGGGGGTCCCCCAATGTCCAATTTATAGGCCATTTTCAGGTTGACATCTTTTCATAGCCCATGGCTTCCATCAGGAAGCGGAAACGCTCGCCCGTAATCGCGGTCCGAAGCTCTTTTCATGGCGGAGATCCATACATAGTACTACATAGGGTACTGCAAGATGAATCTCAAGATACGATCAAAAACGAAAGGAATTAATGAAATAGGAGGTAGTTGTACTATCGGATGACCTACCTACAAGGCAGAGTGGGACCAGCAGAACATAAACTACCCCTAACACAACACTGTTGCCCATACGTACCTGCGAGGTACCGTAGGTAGGTACCTAACACACAATGGGGATAATAAGTAAATTTTAAATAATTTCTATCAATCCATCCAAGAAATACGCAATCCCAGTCTTTCATTAAATTTTTTTTTTTTTTTTTTAAAATTTTTGATTCTTGTTAGCGACAGTATTGATCATTAATTTAACTCTTATGTATACAAAATTAAAGAACTTGATAATTCAGATGATAATTATATTTATAATACTTCACCTTGAACCTCCGTATAAAATCGCCCCCAGATCAAGCTGGTGTATAGTTTTCTGTAATCTCTTTCATTTTCTTAGGGAAGGTGTAACGTTGCTACCTCCTCTACAGGTAGGTACCTAGGTAGGTAAAGTACATTGCTTACAATATACGTAGTTTTCATTGATCAGAGCCTATCTACCTAGGTACACTGTAACCTTAAGATGAACAAGATGAAGAAGACACCTTACCTTCTTTCATGTGTTTTGTGTTCAATACTGGTCCTTGTGTGGGATTAATCTGCGCTAGGTACCCTGACAGACACAAGGCACAAGTGTAAGGTGTCAGCCCCGAAAATAACTATGTAATCTGATAGTGAATTCCCTGCTGTCCTTTCCGCTACTGGTACCATTTAATCTTCTCTAATTTACTATCGATCAAGATCATACTCGTGTCTTCATCCAATCGCCACCACCACCCACCACAACAGACCCTTTCGCGCGCACAGGAATCAATTTCCACTTTCAATCCTTTATTCCACCACGAACTTTTCACTATCCCACCCTTTCTTATCTACAGTGCTGACAACTATTATGTCTGATCAACCATGCAAGGACTGCCAAAAGCTTATGTATGAGGAATGTCTTTGTAAATTCTGTTACAAATGCGGCCGTTTGGGTCATAAGAAACATGAATGCAAGGCATACCTATGTGGAAGATGCAAAACATGGTGTTTGGAGCGAGTCTGCCAGCTTTGCGGACGTGAAGATATGGTAGAGGACCATCCAACTGGCGATTGGGATGAAGATTTTGATGTTTCACAAGAAGTAAGTTTACATAAATTCTTGCCATGGAGAGTAACTGACTTGAAGCAAAGACGTGTAATAGAATACCAACACCAATTCCATTTGGGTCTCGATCCCATAGTTTGAGAAAGAACTTTGCTGAAGATATAAGTGGTATCCATGTCCAACTACAGAACCTCGGCCCCATAGATCGTACGGATATATTGGATCATCTTATTGCACGAACGAAAAGCAAGTTCGGGGATAGATATGCACCTTTGCTGGATAGAGACAATTTTGATATGATCCTCGAAGGAAATCTGAATCCCGTGGTCAGAGACATCTGCGTCCATGGGAAATTCACATTACAAGAGTACTGTTATTACAAGAACTCGACATATTTGAAAAATGCTAACATTTTCAATAGTTTGATATCAATAGGTCATGATCCCGCAATTTCTAGGCAGTCAGGGGTATATCTGCATCTAATATGGAGAAGAAACCAACCAGAACAATTTTGGGCCTACACTGGACAAGCAGCGATACTATGCGACAGAATCAAGAAACATAATGACCCCTACTTCCGCAGTCGCAACCCATGTCTTCATTATCATATATGGGATACGGTAGAAGATACAGAATCTGTCTTTGTGACTCTTGGTGTCCACGAGAATCCCTCCAGCCTTGCATCTCAACTTTCACTGAACATGTTAGAGATGTGGATGTGTCTTGTTTTCCAGACTCTCACCCCATTACACCTGTATGAGTACTTACCCAACCATATTGGCAAGCTATGGTCCGGCAATCATCTGAACGTTGCACTTCCGTTGTGGCAGGGATTTACTGGAAATGAGAAGGCAGTGAAAGATGCAGCAGGAGGACGAATCGCATTCCAACAATTCTTAGCATCTAGTGATCCGACTATCCGCGCATGGGCGGAGCACGCGAGGGATGCATTTAATGATATTAGGAACTCGCCTGACCCTATCCTACGCGACTACTACAAAAAGCTTTATCTTGAGAGACGTATTAGAGCGCAAAAAACTTTGGAGGATAAAAAGGCAGAGAATGTCAAGCAGTATCTAATTGGGGCAGAAACACAAGTCCGCATTTCACATAGCGGTGAGTTGACAGAGATATTATGCGGCATGTACCGTTTTACCATTTCAAGATCACTTAAGTTAGATCTTAAGGATGAAGATATGGTATTTTGTCAGTTTCATCTTACTGAAAGTCTACATCCGAATGCGTACGCTAGGATGGCGTATTCCAGTGATCCAGCCAGCAGACTAGCGGTCTCAATCAAAGGAAACGACAGCCAGGGGAAGTTCAATGTCTGGCTTACGACAAATGGTCTTTTGAATATCAAAAAAATGAATTCCCTAGTTGATATCCTAGAAGGCTTTACCTTGGAAGAAAGTCGAGCATTCAGAAGACGTTGGCATGTTAGGCGAGAATCAACTTCTCGGACACATGTATACACTTAGGAGCTTTGGATGCTATCTAGCATTCTGCAATGAATCGCTTTGGTTCTTTTTTTTTGACAAGGCTAGGTAGTTATATAGAGCTGACAGTTTATTCCAATTCCATCGGAAGATAATAGCAGTACCTATCTACCTACATAGTAGGTAGCTATCAGCTTGGATATTGTTAGGGAATTGCTGGTATAAAGATCGCTAGGAGCCACTATTAAAGTTCCTATGAATCCTGCAAAATATTCTGCGTATTCTATTCCTTAGCAAAGTAGCCTTTTATTCGATACCCCTTTATGATTGTTTATTTCCAGTACTACCTAGTTGGTAAACAGGTGGTGATCCCCGTTGCACCGCTGTGGATCCACAAAACAAAACCGAAGAAAAGCCGAATCTCCAATAATAAGGTCATAAAACATAAGCCCGGTTATTTATTAGTTACGAAATATTACCAGGAAAACATAAGAATACGCTTATTAGTCCAAGGATTGAAAACAAGAAAATTTTATACCAAGGATACAAAAAATAAAAAAAACAACGGGCAGAAGCCCTAGTTAAATATCTAACTCGGAGAGAGAAAGAGAGAGAGAGAGAGAGAGAGCGCGCGCGCAACAGAATTAATCAATTAGAGCATAGAGAAAGCCACAGCAGCAGCGCCGGCGACCAAACCAAGAATGGAAGCAGACATCTTGCCGGCGGCGTTCTCCTCGCCCTCCTCGTCGTCGCTACTGTTGGAGGAAGAGTCACCAGAAGTGTTCTGCCCAGGGGCGTTAGACTCGCTGTCGGGGAGAGCCTCGAGACGGAGACCGGTGAGCTCCTTGCCGTTGTGATCCTTGATGGTCTGGGGAACATCCTCGGACTTGACAGAGACGAGCTTGCCGGACTTGACGCCATCGTAGCCGTTATCGATCATGTCCTGGACCTTGGAGGGGCGCTTGGGAAGGTCGAAAGTGCCGAGGAAGGTCTCATTCTTAATGAGACCAGGTCCACACTTAGGGGCCTTGAAGTTGGTAGCGGTCTCGTTGGTGGCCTCAATCTTGTCCCAGTTAAGCTTGGAGTACTGCTTCATGAGGTTATCGAAGTCGACGAGGAGGTCAGCATCCCCGTTGTCCTTAAGCTCGATGAGACCGTAGTCGTTGGGCTCCTGGGTGTACTCGTAGATAAGACCACCGGAGAAAGAATTGGACATGCGGTCGCTGTACAGGGCCTCAACCTCAGTGAAGACACGGGGCTGGACTTCGTTGCAGCCATATTCGGAGAAGAAGACAGGCAGGGAGGCCTCGGCGAAGTCCTCGGTCAGGACATCGTAACCGGACTTGGTGAAGGAAGAGCGACCGCACCACGAGTAGGAGTTGAGGCCGAAGAAGTCAGAGTGAGAGCTGGGGGAGTCCTCATCCTCGCACATGAAGTAGTTGACGGTATCGATGAGCCAGGGGCGGATGTCGGCGGCGGAGTATCCGACCGGGATGGGACGGTCGGCGTTCTTGGAGATGTAGTCCTTCATGTCACGTTGGACAGCCTAAGATGGGCAATAGGTTTAGTTGATGGGGATTCAGGATGATAGGTTAGAAACATTCGATGAAGCACATACACGCATGTAGGCAGGGACCTTCTTGACACTCTGCTCGTTGATGACCTCGTTACCGGCGAACAGACCCAGGAGGTTAGGGTAGTCCTTGAAGTTCTCGATGATACCAAACACCTGCTCATAGTAGGTGGGGTTGTAGGTGCTCTCAGGGTCGGTACGGTCGATATATCCACCATAGAGGGGAGAG